AAATACTTGGAAAGTAACTTATCATGAACCTGTTACGGTGACGTCGACAGGAGTTGAACTTTGACCTGCTCCCATTGATGAGTATGCTGTGCATGTGTACCTGATTGTATGTGTGTGTGTGTGTGTGGGCATGTGTACCATTGCGTGTGTGTATGTGCACTTAAATGCACCTATTTGTGAGTGCGTATGTAGTGCGTATGTGGGTACACGTGCACCGACCTGTACGTGTACCTGTACGTGCGAACGTTTGAGCGTAGCATGTGTTCATCTTCGTCGTAAGTGCGTATGTGACAAGACAATAGTTTGTGTTTTATTAAATGTTGTTGAAATGTGGGCTGCTAATGCATGAAAGAAGCAAACGAATGAGCATGTGGATGGATTGTTCACCATCATCATCATCATCATCATCACCATCATCATCATCATCATCATCATCATCATCATCACCATCATCATCATCATCATCATCATCACCATCATCATCATCATCATCAACGGTTAGTTTAATTATTAATCGAGCAAACGAGCGAAGGATGAAAGAATAAATGATGGAGCAACTGAAAAAGTGACTGAATAAATGAATGAATGAATGAATGAAGAAGTAAAAAAGAGAACGAATGAATAAATAAATGAATGAATGAATAAGCGAACAAACGAATGAATGAATAAATGAATGAGTGAGTGACTGGAAAAGCAAATAAGCAAACTCACAGCCCAGCATCTTGTTCGCTAATCTCCCTTATCAGCAAGTTTGTAATGTTCATCTTCTCAATTCTGTTTCCTGTTGCTGCTGTTGGGTGCGCTGGTCATGATTACAAAGTTGATGACGATGATGATGATGATTACTGCGAAGTTGATGATGATGATAATTGTAAAGACGGTGATAACGAGGATAATGATAATGATGACGGTGACGATGACTGTGAAGACGACGTTCCCAAATGTTGACAATGATGACTAAACGATAAAATGATAACCTTCCAGAGTTTTGCCATTCTTCGTCCAGACGACCATAGAAACATCTGGTTTGCCGATAGCCTTGCATTCCAGAGTGGCGTCTAAACCTTTGCAGAAGTTCAATGTCAAGGGCATTTCAAGGACGCGTGGAGTGACTGCGGGGCGATCGTTGGCAGGATGGATGACAGTGATGGATGGACGGTGGAAAGGGGTGGTTATAACAAAGTTGAAGTTGATGATAGAAATGACGTTAACATAGGATCTAAATGCTATGGCTGCAAAAATGGTTATAGTGAAAATGATGATGTTGTTGGTGTTGTTGTTGTTGATGAGGATGTTGTTGATTATGATGATGATGACGGCGTTGGTGTTGTTATTGTTGACGAGGATGTTGTTGATAATGATGACGTTGTTGATGATGATGATGATGATGTTGGTAAACATGAGAGTGATGATCAGACTGATGTGAAACTAGTGACAACAGTTGTTGCTGGAACGAGAAACACAAGCAAAGATGACGATGATGACGTTAATGGTTAGGATGATGGCGATCATGACAATGAGGATGACGGGGACAGCAATAAAGAGGAAGATGACGATGATGACTTAATGACGAGATGACACGACTGAGACATTCAACTCACAATGGACAATTAAAAAGGCACTTGTTGCTACGTTCATCTCCTCTTCCTCTTCTTCATCCCCATCATCATGACCGTTACCATTGTCCTCATCACCATAACCATTGTGGTCATTATCATGCATGACGTCACACACGTAGTGACCTTCGTCATCCGGAGTCACGTAGTTCAAGGTCAGGGCACCTCTCTCATCGACTCCATACTTGATTGATGACAACGATGATGGCGAAGATGACGACGACGATGACGACGATGATTGAGATGAAATTTTTTTCCTAAAGAGCATGAGACCGTCTTTGTACCAGGTCACAGTGATGCGGTGATGGCGGTTGTGGCTGCTGTCGATGGAGAAGTTGCAGTCGAGTGTCGTCGTTTCCGTTTCCGTCGCTGTCACGTTCGTTTGCCGGAAGATGATGTCCAGGGTGTCTGTGATAATGATGTGATAATGATGATGATGATTACGGGGCCGATGGTGATGACGATGACTAAGAAGAAGTAGAAGAAAAAGAAGAAGAAAAAAAAGAAAAAGAAGAAGAAGAAGAAAAAGAAGAAAAAGAAAATAAAAGAAAAAGACGAAGAAGAAAAAGAAGAAGAAAAAAAAGAAGAAGAAAAAGAAGAAGAAGACGATGATGATGATGATGATTACGAAGATGATGAATAAGAAGAAGATGATGATGATGATTAAGAAGAAGATGATGATTGTGGTGTAAGATTTATTTTTCATATTGTACGTAATAATTTTCCAATTTTTCCTACAATCTCTTTCAGCTTAATTAAAATTTTTCATCATCCATTCGAAGAATGAGGTAGAGGTATGAAAATATGAATACGTTAAAACTGCTGAGTGGTTGCATTGGGTGGAAATTACTTCTGCTGTTAACTACACAAAGGAGATGATGGTGATAATAAAAATGATTATGATGATGATGTAGATGATAATGATGATTAAGATGAAAATGGTCATCATCTTCATCACCATCATCATATTCAGCATACTCCTCATCATCTTCACCATCACCACCCTTCTCCTTCTCCCCATCATCATCATCCTTACCATAATCGCCATCGTCATCATCACCATCATCATCGCCATTATCACCACCACCATCATCATCGTCGTCGTCATCATCATCACCATTGAAGTGCTTAAATATCTTCTCGTCAAAATTAAAGCCGCACTCTCCTCTGACGTTTTTAACTCAACTTCAACTATTACTATCACCGCAATTACTAAGACGACTATTATCAGTACTTACATTACTACTTCTGCCACTCGCTACTGCCGCTGTTACTACAACTAGCTACTACTACCGCCACAGCTACTGCTACTACTACAGATGCAGCAACAAGCAGCTTCTTCTATTGTTATTTCTATCACTACTACTTAATTCTACAACTACAACTACCACTACTACTACTTATAACTTATTACTATTACTACTAGTTTTACAACAACAACAACAATAATAATAATAATAATAATAATGATGATAATAATAATAATAATAATAATAGTCTTATTAAAAAAATGTCGCTAAAGATTTTGTTACTTCAATCATCTCAATTGTCATTATTATTATTATTATTGCTATTATTACTATTATTATATATTGTCATTATTTTTGTTATTATTATTATTGTTGTTGTTGTTGTTATTATTACTGTTTATTTCTTGTTATTACTAGCAGGAAAAAAATTAATTAATTTTTCTTTTCAGTCAAGGGGGAGAAAAGTTTCGTGAGTTAAATCTTCTTGCCAAGAAATTATTTCAACATTTTTTGACGCATTCTTAAGCCTTTCCAACACCTTGATAGATGAACGCATGCACAAAAAAACCAACCCAGACAAATACACCCAGACAGACGCACCTAGACAGAAACACTCAGACAGACACACCCAGGCAGACACACCCAGACAGACACACCCAGACAGACACACCTAGACAAACACACCCAGACAGACACATCCAGACAGATCTAGACAAACATTTCTAACCAAACACACCTAGACGGACACATATAGACAACCACATTTAAACAAACACAACAACACAAACACACCAGGAAAATGCATATAAACAAACACACCCGGACAAACACATTCAGACAAACATTCACATGCTTAGACAAACACACATAAACACACATAAACAAGCATTTGAACATACTCACATAAACAAACAAACCTAGACAAACACATACATCTAGTAAATCACACACATTAGACAAACACACAAAGACATTAATAATTAGACACATACACACAAACACCTATCTTAATTAATCAAACATGCACTGCACACGTGTATATAGCACACCTTGGTTTATTAGGCGTATCAAAAACCCATAAAAAAGGAACAATAAACTTCAAAGTCAGCTAGAGAAATCTACAGAATACATATTGCAAAATCATATAAACATACAAACACAAAAATATACCAATATACAAACACAAAACTCACAAACATATCAACACAGACCATAGAAACATACAAACATGAAGCGTAGAGAAACACAATGATAGAAATGAACAGATGTATGAATTAGATTGCAATGGCTCAGTTGGATTAAGAAAATTGATTTGTCAAAGGCAAACATTGTAGAGTGTGAAGATGGCGTGAATATATCTTATTGTTATTGTTATTATTATTATCATTAGTTAATTATAATTAATTATTGCTATTTTTTTTAGTTTTATTAATATTATTTTTTATGTTAGTATCATCATACCGTGAGAGGATTTCGACAACAACACCAATACTGACCAGCATAGTAACAATGACAATCACAAACAACATCTCGTTCGTTCGTTTGTTTGTCTTAATTAAAATGCTTATTTAAACCATTGTTGCTACTCCTAACAGCAGTTTTTCTTTCAAATGTTCTCATTTTGTGGCAATTGTATTCTAGAATTGGGATAAAATATTTCAAACTTCATCATTATAAATACGAACAAGTTATAAAGGGTAAAATTTGGAAGAATCAAAATAAAAAGTTTGACCTTGAGATGAACTGACCTTGAACTATGAGCCTGGTCTCCTTGCTGGCACTTCCTGCCTGGTTGCTGAGTTTGCAGACGTACACTCCTCCGTCACTGCTCCTCAACTTTGAGATGGTCAGCTTCGTTCGGTCTGGACTTATTTTCAAACGGCTGTGTCCTTTGTCGCTAGATGTCAGATGACGACGATGACGATGAAGATGATGAGGAAGATGACGAAATTGATGAGGATGATGATGATGAAATTTGTTGGTTGTTTTTGTGGAGCGCTTTGTTCCCTTATTGATGATGTAGTTGTTGTTGTTGATGTTTCTTCTCCATTGTTTGTTGAAATGATGATGATGATCACGACTCCTTCTGTGAAGAGTTTTGTCGGGGTCCACGTGCGTTTTCAGATTTGAGAGTACATTTCTTTTCGTTTTTGTTTGGTGGTCACTGTTTTCATTTTGAATGTCATCATCATCATCACTACCCTCTTCTCCCTCTTCGTCATCTTCCTCTTCGTCATCTTCCTCTCCTTCTTCTTCCTCCTCCTCATCATCACCACCACCATCTTCAGTATCATTATCGCCAATAACAATCATCCTCATAGTTTTCTTTTTATTGTTTCTCAAGAAAACCGATATTTTCTTTAGCTTGGCACCATTTTTGTACCACGTGACTTCCGGTTGAGGATTTCCATGTCCTTGACAGTAGAGTTCAAGGTCATGATCTTTTTCAAAAGACATGACGTCATTCCAGGCTGACGTTATTCTTGGTAAAGCTAGATTGAAAAAGTATTCATGAAAACATAAATTAAATCACAAAGTTTTTTTTTCATTAGCGTAGCGAAGTTGTTGAATGTTGATTAAAAACTTTAAAAACATCGATTATGTATTAAAACAATCAGGCACACAAACACACAGACAAATACAGAGACAAATACACACTCAGTCGTAGCGCACGAGATGATGAACGTTTAATAGCACTAACGCGTGTTGAGTGTATTTAATACTTGAGCATTGTTTTGCACTGGATGATGATGATGATTTTGTTGCTGTTTTTGAAGTTGATGTTGTTGTTGATGTTGTTGTTGCTGATGTTGTTGTTGTTGTTGATGTTGTTGTTGTCGTGATTTCTGTTACTGCTGTTGAAGTAGTTGTTACATGTTTATATTGTTTGTTATGTTTTGGCTTTTAAATTTTAAATGGGTTTTATTGTTCGTAACATTGTTAATGTTATTATCTGTATGTTACTTTTGTTAATCTTCTTCTTCTTGTTAACGTCAGTGATTTGTCGTTGTTATTGTTGTTGTTGTTGTTTTTGATTTGTTATTTGTAGTAGGTGTTGTTGTTGTTATTGTTATTGTCGTAGTCGTTGTTGTTATTATTTTTATTTTGGTAATTGTCTTAGAGATAAATGGATTGTAATTAACGTTACAAAAGCTAGCCTAAGTATTTATCAAGGGAGTGAGTTTTGTGCGTGCATGAAACTATGTTGCTTGCTTGTCTGCTTGTTCATCAATTGTTTTCGTGTATGTTTGTTGATTCGCATGTTTTTATGTGCGTGTCTGTCTGTCTGTTTATATGCTTAATGATTATAATATCTTTAGTAATGTAATTAATTGTATGTATGTATGTTTGTTGGTTTGTATGTTTGTTTTCTTGTCCATAAATTGTATTATACGTTTCTCAGTTTTACATCCCCTGTATATTATTTACGAACGAACAGACTTGTGAACAGGTTTGCACGTTTAACAATTATTATACACACACACACACACACACACACAGAACACACACACACACACACACACACACACACACACACACACACATACACACACACACACACACACACACACATATATATATATATATATATAGATATATATATATATATACATACACAGTTGGACCTCCGTAATCTGAATTTGATCGTTCCAGGAAAGAAATTCGTTATATAGAAATTTCGTTATATAGAATTTTTCATACCTCATGGAATTTTACATGGTATAATGTGAAAAATTAGATTTTAAAAGTAAAATTTTTTTCTTGGTCCATGCAATGATGATTCCGATTTCACTGAAATTAATTAAGGTAGAATTCGTGAAATTACTAGAATACTAGAACAAGAAACAAGAAATATGGTTCTAAGATAATAAAGGATCAATTATGTAAAGTATCAATTGATGACACGTTTGTTGAACGGATATTTTTTACTTTTTATAATTTGTTCATTATAGAGAAGTTATTTTTGTTCTATAGGAACAGTTTTATATATACGTAAAATTATAAAAATTATAAAAATCGTTATATAGAGATTTTTGCAGTATAGAAGTTCGCTATAAGAGGGTTACCATTCTTCGTTACTATTTTATACTACTGCCTTGCATGCTGTAACAGTCTCTGCGTCTGTCAGATCTTGATTCCTGATTTTTTAAAGATTAATGAAAAAAAAGGTTTTACTGTAAATATATATAAGGAAGAAAAAAGGAAAAGAAAAAGTGAGAGAAAGGCAGTGGTAGGAAGAGAGAGAGAGAACGTAAGAAAGAGGAAGAGAAAAAGAGAGAGAGAACGAGAAAAAATTGTGCAATTTGTTAAACATTTTATTTCTCAAAAATATTGAAATTTAAAAACTTCAGAGTGCCAAAGTGAAAATGACGTCAACAAATTTTTATAATTATCGGACGTGGAAACTTCAAAATGGAATGGGAATGAAAACCTCAAGATGGGGACTCGGCATTAAACAGCAATAAAATTTAATACCCTAAAAAACTAGAAAAAGGGTTGACATCAATTAAATAAATAAAACTCTTCCTCCTAGCAGTAATTACCAACATATTTTTCAGCGATGTGCTTACATTTATTTTTAGTGCGACTCGTCGGCGGAATAACATCGCTCGACCCGTATCTTAATTATCTTATCGATCCGATATTCGGTTATAAATGGTTTTTAGGTGGATCGGTTGTTTTGTTGTCCGGTTGAACTGTTGTTTTGTTGTTTGGATGGTTGGCTGGTTAGTTGGATGGTTGTTTGGTTGGTTAGTTGTGTTGTTGATTGATTGAATGGTTGTGTTGTTGTTTTGTTGTGATTGAATGGTTGTGTGGTCGCTAATTTATATAATTGTATACAAATGCAAGAATTTGTGTAAAGATGGGAGTTGTGTTGTTTGTGTACTTATCTAATCTAGCTCATGCTCTGATTATGTTATCATCTAATCAATCAGTCAATCAAGCAATCAATAAATTACCAATTATTTTGATGATTGAACCAATTCAGCCATCAACCAGTACATCAATTGATCATTCAAACCACACAACATTCTATGAAAACTATTTGATGAAACAGTAATAATAAATTCATTTAATCAATCTGATTAATCAACCAGTCAATTAATAATTTAACCAATCAACCAATCAATCAGTCAATCAATTAGTCAGTCAATGAGTCCAATCAATCAATCAGTCAGTCAGTTGGTCAGTCAGTCGGTCGGTCGGTCGGTCGGTCAATCATTTATTAATCAAACAATTGATAACAATCTCCAATCAGCACCAACAATCCACCAACAATTAACAGTCAGGTTAATCCACATTCGTAGCACATCCGTTTCTGAATCCAGATCGTAGAAAGCTATGCAGCATTCGTACCAGCCGGCGTCAGCAACATTGATGTTCGATAGCTCCAGTGTCGCTTTGTTGTTCACCAATCTCAATCTATCCTGTGTTAATTTGTTGGTAGGTTGGATGGCTTGTTGGTAGGTTGGTTAATTGGAAGATTCATTGGATGATTTGATGATCAGTTGGTTGGTTTGTTGGTTGATAAGTTGAGAATTGGTTGGTTGGTTAGAGGATTGGTTTAGTTTGTTGGCTGGTTGATAGGTTGGTAGGTTGGTTGATTGATTGATAAATATTTTTGTTGAATGGTTGAAGAATTGGTTGGTTGGTTTGTTGGTTGGTTGGTGGGTGGGTTGAATGGTTTGTTTATTTGTTGGTTGGTTGGTTGGTTGGATAGATTGTTTATTTTTTAGTAGATTGGTTGGTAGTTGGTTGGATGGTTTTTTGGATGGTTGGAGAACTGGTTGGTTGTTTGATTTGTTGATCGTCTGTGTAAAATATCAGGTTAGCTAGTTAGTTGTGTAGCTGGTTGGTTGGTGAATTAGGTGGCTGGTTGGTTAGTCTGTGAGTTTGTTGTGTTTTCTGGTTGATTGATCAAATGACGTCCAGTAATATATTGATGATTACGATTTTTTGATTGATTGGATTGTTTAGGTATCAAATAACTTGTAAGATGCAATGATCGTTAAAATATTGATACATGATTGGCTAACTGATAGAATAAATGAATGGCTGGTTGATTGTTTAATAAGTTAACTGACTGAATGCATAATTGAAAAGCACCTGATTGGTGCGATTAAATGGTAGCTGCTTGTCGGTGAATTTTTAGAAAGGATTTGTTTGGAAAAAATGTACATGCAATGGCGTACACACGCATTTGTATGTACGCGCCAGCAGTTTTTGAGTTTGGAACAGACTGCATTTGAACCCTGTCAGTGCGCACCAACAACAACAACAACTCAAAACATGGCACTTCTACTCTATGAGCTAATACGACAACCATTTTCAACGGTTCATGTTAATGAATTCGGCCTTGTTTTAATCAATGTTAACTAAAAATAAGTAATTTTAATTAATGCAAATTATGCTAATTAATGGTAATTATGCTTATTAATGCTAATTAATGTTGATACTTGATAACTGTCACTGATGTGAGCTGAGTATCCGTTGACTTTGAAGAAGATAGGCAGGTCTGTTCCAATCTTCTTCCACGTTATCGCACTTTCTGGGTATCGCAAGAAGGGGTTTAAGTTGTTGTTGTTGTTGATGTTGTTGTTGATGTTGTTGTTAATGTTGTTGTTGATGTCGTTAATGTTGTTGTTAATGTTGTTGTTTTCGCATTCAAGAAAAACAGTTGATCCTGCAACTGCTGTGATTCTCAAATACTTTGCCCGGAAGGTGGTTGAATTGC